TGACATAATATATTTAGATTAAATATTTTAAAGTATATCTTATTTTATAATAAAATTTTTGGTTAAATATTTAGATTAAATATTTTAAGGTATATCACATTTTTACACATCCAAACTATTTACTCTTTTTGGTTGTTTTCACTTAGTTAATTATTAAGAATTTTAAGAGATAATGGCCCATTTGTTTCAGCTGTTTTTTTTTTTGGAAAAAGATCACTTATTTTAAGACACTTCTTTGAGAGAGAATGTTTTAAAAATGTGGGATGCTGGAAGATATGCTAAGAGTTTAAAATAATTAAATAACGAATTATTTTTTATAAAATAGAAATGAAGGAAGAAATATTCGCAAGTGGTAACAAGTTGTTTGGTCAAATACCAAAAAATATTGGTAAAAATTAACATAGAAGGTATACTTTCAACTAATCATAATGTTTAACTTTTCATCAATTTTGTGTTATTTCTGTGGCTTGTTATTGGTGACGTGGTGTGTTCGTCAACTGCGTATAATATAGAACAGAAGCAATGTGGTCAAGAAGATATTTCATATTGGTGATTAATTATTAAAGAATAAATGAGCAAATCCTGAACTTTAGGTCCTTAGCACCATGGACTTTAGACTCGTTTATTGTGCAAATTATTTGCTCAACTTTTAAAAATAATACAGTCTTGTCCTTGCCATTAACAAAAGTTAGTTTTGACAGTTAGCGACTAGAAAATGAAAGAAAATGACATCAAAAATTATATAAAAGAACCTAAAAATTACAAACAAGGACAAAAATTACAAAAAAGGATCAAAAAATCTTTTTGGTCATTTTTGATAATTTTTAAAATCCTTTTCTATAATATTATCGTCCACTAATGGTCAAAGTTACTTTTATTAATGGTAGGGGCTATATTACATTGTTTTCAATAGTTGAGTGAACAACTTGTACAATAAACAAGTTGAGAATATATAGTACAACTGAACCTAAAATTTAGGGGGTAATTTGCTCATTTCTCCATTATTAAATATATATTCCTCACAAATCTCATCTGAAGTCAATCTATTCCTTCAATCAAATGTGTCTTCATCAAACATTTTGAAATGAAAAATTTATAAACTTTATATGATATAAACTTTGGCGGTGGTGAAATCTATAGCTATTTAAGAAATAAAAGAAAAAATAATTTTTTTGTGAGTAAGTCTGTTGCATATATCCAAACCACATATTTTCCTTGTTATTTATTTATTTTTTTTTGAATATTTGCCTTTCCAACTTCGTGGCCTCCTATATGGGTATTCAAATTGTTAAAGTTAGCTCATTTTGCGCTTTGATGAAAACAGCTTTGCAAAAGTTTACTTCCTTGTTTAAATTAATTTCCCTGAGAAAATTAATGTTTGATGATTTTGTAACTATTATTTTTCAATGATATATTCTTGATAATAATTCTTTAATTTGGTTAAGATACAATAATCCAATGTTCTTTGTAATTCTCTTCTAGCTAGCTAGACAATTTGTCACTTCAGATGATTTATAGAATCTCTTTTGTAGTTGCGTTAAAACCATGTAAAATTGTTCAAACAATTACTACACAATATGTTGCTTATGATTTGCAAGCGTTGTTAGGGTTTTGACTAATTTCATCCTTATCTGGCACTTGTTGTAATTCTTCCAATATCTTACTTTCTTAATATGTGGCATTTTTGGTAATTGTTCAAAGTCTTGCACAAGCTGCCATTTTAGAGTCTTAACCTTTGTCTCATGTGTTTGCTTGTAGGTTCAAAGTATTATTTGTGTGAAATTCTGGTGTTACTTATAAATGATAATCTAAAAGTAACCATTAAATATTGTTCTTTTAAGTGATGATGGTAAGGACGTGTCTAAAGTGTAAATTTTGTTTTTCCTTACTTAATGTATAAGAGGAACCAGCAGCTTTGGATCTTATGATTGTTTTTGTTTTTCGTGGGTAGAATAGATTGATTAATGTGGCAGTATAGTCTTTGATGTAAAATACAAATGAGGAAAAGAGAATTTCATTCAGCTGCCATGTCATCATACACACACACACACACACACACACGGCCCCGGTGACTGGAAATAAGGGACTACAGGTTAGATTTGGCAAAAATGATTCATCATATATGGACACTTGTAGGATTAATAAGCCATCTTTCTTATGTCTTTATCACATAAATTGGAAAATATTCTCTCAATAGATATATCTATGACCAATTTAAATTCTATATCTTTAAGCCTTAAAATATTTTTTTATAGGTGATATACCTGAAGGAATTGGGAAATTGGATATGCTTCAAGAGCTATATCTTGATCATAATAATTTACAAGGTATTTGTTTTCATCAAGTTATGATATTCTGCCTACTATAGTTTTTTTTTTTTTCTCTAGTTGTTTTCTTACTATTACTATGAACAACAAAGCATTTTCTTTTCCTACTTTTCCTTTTGTTTATAAATTTGTGTATGAGTGAATTTTTCTTTTCTAACAATTTAAACATAAAAATAAGTCTTTAGTTTTTGTTGGCCAAAAAAAGTTTCCTTTTCCAATAATTTTAGAAATGCTAGCAAGGATGTCTTGTGGAGTATTTTGTTCGTTTGTAATAGACGAAGCTGTTATTGTAAAATGGTGACTTGGAGTATTGTGTAAAACTTTATTTCTTTATAATCATTTTGCATCCAATTAAATCTTTAGTCCATATTTCAGTCTATATAAAATGTATTGAAAAGCTTCAGCACATGTAAAAAAGCATGTTTTTCTTTTCATGTGGTTCATTTTGCATCATGACAAACAGTTCTAATGACTCTAAAAATAAATTATTACACTATGAAATCATGATATACTTAATATTTGTGATAATTAAGTATTTTTAAACAAAAAGTATGTGTTTTGATTAATTCATTTCCACCTAAAACATCCCTCAAATTCCATGTAGGATGCCTATCACATGAATTGCATCCGCACGATTTATAATGCATCATCACTCTTAATGATGTGTTTTTTTATGTTGTCATGTATGCAGGAGATATTCCTGAAACAATTGGCAATCTTACAAGTATAAAAATAATGGCCCTAGATGTTAATTAATATTTTCTAGCTTTTTAAATAAATTTATCAGCGCCTTTGTTGGAAATATTTGTTTTTCCTTTCTGTCCTTTTACATTTGGGTTTTTTAATCATATCCCAAACAATAATTCTAAGGAAATGGGTGATCTTCTAAGATTAAAAATATGAACCCATTCACATAAGTGCCCATGATTTTTTTTGTCTTGCTTTCTACCTTTTGGAGTTTTGGTGCTCTTGAAAGCAATGTGTAAGTCATTATTTACATTTATATGTTCATTATCTTTGATCGTTATACTTTAGATCCCTCAACTACACATTCATATTTGTAGTTCACATACACAAGATTTGTGTTGTCAAATTTCCAACGCTTTGGTGTCCATCAAAGAGGGAAGTATTACTATTTTTACCTCTGTTTTTTGGGCTTGAAAACATAAGTAAATATATAAAACTATTCTTGATTCCAGGAAGATTTACTCTTCGAAGTCCATTCATGCTGTTTTCTTTTGAGTCTCTTTATAATTTTTTAATTTTCTTTTTTATTTTACACTTATTCTCATGAAGATTTTTCTTTTAATTCCCTTCATAGATAGATTAGAGCTATTGAACGAATAAATTTGTCTTTGTCCTTGTTAGCTCCCTTTTTGTTTTCCACATCAACACTTTTTTTTAATACTACTAGGATTTCTCTTTCCCTCATTGCTTGTTTAGAATGCTAAGTTTTGGGGCAATATCGTGCGGAATTTTTTTTGTTGGAATGATTTTTTTTTTTTTCAATACTACAAGCTAGGACTTCTCGTTCCCTCACTTTTTTTAACACGTTTTTTTTTTGGGTTTCCATTATTGCTTGTTTAGAATGCTTGTTTATAAATTTTCTTTAAAGTTTGTCTGAGGTGGATTTTTTTTGTTGACTTGTAGAATCTTTTTCTTCGCTACAAACATCTTTATAATTTTAGCTTGGACTCCTTAAAATGAGTCAGCCTATGCCCTACAAGTTAATTCTTCAACTTGTTTGCCAAATTTATGATTCTGATTCATTTTGTGGTAGATATGAATTTATAAAGGTAAATTTGTGGAAAGTTATGGTTTACATAATTATTATATAGACCCTCATTATAATTTCATATTGGAGATAATATTATATATTAATGTTGAAGTACTGTAAGTGTCCCATCATTAACATATATCATATTTGTTTAATTGAGATTAAAAACAATTTTTTTTGGCAACACATTAAAGCAAGTTTAAGTTCATTACTTAACCCCATAGTTTTTTGTTTGCCAAATCTAAAATTGAATATGTGATTTGACCCAAAAAAATTAAATATGTGAATTTCAATGCCTATTTTCATTGACAATGTATGATTTATATATTCCAAAATCCAATAATCAAAATCATAAATACAAGTGATATATATATTGACTATGAAATTAATTATTAGTTATTATATATAAGATGTGTTACCTTTGAATGTTACAACTTTGGTCATAATTGTGCCAATAAAATTCTTGCCTATTAGCTTCAATTGCCATTTGCACGGAACCAAAATTCTTAAGATATAATTTTATTTGAAATAACATTATAACAAATTTGCAACTACATGATTGGGGTCCAAGAGCATTATAACCTTTTATCTTCTTCAGCCATTTGTTAGTTAAAATATTAAATTCATTATGATTAGCAAATGCCAATATTGGGGGCGAACTCATTAATGAGATAGCCAAGGGTCCCAAATTGGCTTTAATACTTATTGTACACTGTCTTAATTCTAAAATTCAGAAAGAATAAGTTACCAATAGTTTCAAAAGTTATTTTGCATTTTACTTGATTCTCTTTTATTCCCAACTTCAAGATCTAGTTATATTTTGGTGGATTACACTAAATTTGATGGATCTTTTATTGATGTAAAATTGTAGGAAGCATTCCCGAACAGATTGGTAATCTTAAAAGTCTAAAAATTTTATTTTTAGACACCAATATGTTTTCAAGCCAAATACCATAAACTATCTTTAATATATCTGGGTTGCAAGAGATTGATTTTAGTTGGAATAATTTGTCGGGAGGCATTCCCTCAAATATATGTCATGGCCTTCCAAATTTACAAGCTTTGGATCTTCAAGCCAACAAATTATTTGGAGCTATACCATCTGATTGGACACAATGCAAGGAACTCAAAGAGTTACAATTAGGAGACAACTTCTTCACAGGTATGTACTGCCCACTATGCCAAATCTCTAAATTCAATGTTACCAAATATATTTTGATTGCACTTTTATGCATTGGACATTGGTTTTGATCAAGACCATTAAACAAAGTGGACTTCCTTAATTTTCATCTACACAAAAATTCTCCTCAACAAATCAATTTATTTTTATATAAAAAGTCAAGAGTCCATATATAAAGCATACTTTGGAAAGAAGCATAAAGTCAATAAAACTTAGGCATTATTTTATAATTTTTAAATTCTTATTGTTTTTTTTTCTTTTTCCAAAAGGCTTTTAACAGGCTTCGCAACCAACTGCCCCGTTTCCACGTTCCACCCTTCCTTGTGTATATATAAAAGAGAAAGTAAGACCCAATTGGATCAACTTCAACATATCAACGTTGTCCATCAAAATTTGGTATTTATATTCATTAATGTTTCTAAAATTGCAATCAAACCCACATCTACAAAAATAAAGCTTAAGCATTGAGATCCCAAAATTGTAGTTCGGTGGTTGACTATGGTTCTCGTAATGGGAGGGAACATGTTACTGATTTGGTCATTGATTGGAGTTTGAAAATATCTAATCTTGTCTTGCATTTGGTGTTCAATAGAACTAAGGTCTTTGCCAATTTTTTTTTTGTTTGGTGGAGGAAGTGATGGAAATTGGAAGAACTCATTATGATGCCATAAATTGTCTTGGAATGAACTTCTTGCTATGATCTCTCTTACTCCCACCTCTTGCATTCAACACCTCATTATTTCTCTTCTTCTAGAAGTCCCATGCCCTGTCATCCCAAAAACAACATTTTGGTTTGGCAATCTACGAGGCCTTATTGTTACACAATATACATATACATAGAACAGCAACAACAACAACAATTTTACATGGCTATCTAATTCATTCAGACTCAAACATTGTCAAGTCCAATTAGAGGTACCACTCCCAATGTTGTGAACCAAGATATGAATCTAAGTTTATACTCATATTTAGTGTCTGATTGTGCTTTAAATAAGATTGTTTTCAATAAAGGATTACTTGTGCATAGTTTAATAATAATAATAATAATAATAATAATAATAATAATAATAATAATAATAATAATAATAATAATAAACTATAGGGTTTTAATTTTTTGATACCATATGTTAAGTCATAAGAGAATACCAAGCTGCAATAAATATAATAAAATCTCAACACAAAATAGAGAACAAGGTTTGGATAAACAAGACAGAAATAATGAGGTCAGTTTTAGGTTTTTAGCTTGTGTTTCCTATAAAAAAAAAACAAAGAAATAACTAGGCCACATTAATTCCTGCACCACCGCTTAATTTGGACCCCGTTATTAATTATTAGTGCACTTTGCCAGTTTTTTTAGTAATCCTGTATTAGCTTGATATGGAAAGTTCTTCATTACACCTTTAACATTCCCACTATAATAAAAAAAATCAATATCAATAATCTTATCGAAACTCGACTTTAGTAAAACAATTAAACAATTAGTAAAAAAGTTTAGGAGAAATAAAAAAACTGAGCCATTCATTCTTTCAAAATTAGTACAACAAGTCCCATTAAAATTTTTTAATTTACTGGTTTGATGCATAAAACTAAAATTATATTAATATATTACGATCAATTCAATTACATTTATATTCTTTTATAGCTAAATTAAAAAATTTTGGAAGTCCCCCAACAAATACTAATGAATTTCACATAAGTATTATATTAATTCTATCACTGATTTCGTTTTGAAAAATTAAAAAAAAAAATTAGACTACATATATGTCCACTCTTAAGCGTAATTGCAAGACAACGTGAAATCATTAGTTGAAATGTGTGTGTGTGTGTGTAATATGGAAGGTATTGCAAATTGATTAAGATGGAAGGTTCCTGAGTCATATAATATCATAAGCTCAATGAGGATTATTTCTCTTAAAATAATTTTTTTGGTTCTAGAGTCATGCCTTTAATTTAAAAAGGGTAGAATTGGAACCTTATGGTTTTTAACAAGTTAACAATGTAACAATATTTTCTTAAAATATGTGAACATATTGGAAATACCCTTTGCTTGACTAATATGTGATTTATTAATGGGATTACACAATTTGTGCTATAAATAAAGTATTCCTAATTGTGTCTATAAGTGTCAATCTTCTTTCAAGTCATTAACCAAAAAGCATTGGAAACTTGCTATAAAAATTTCTCGGGATTTAAATGAAAATTTTCTAATTTAAAATCTAAGTGAGTTTAGGTATTGTTTTTCACTTAACCCAAAACTCATTTATTTTTTCAACTTTCATTTTTATCTTATTTTCGATTCGGCTTTATTACTCCTATATAATTCAAAAAAATTAATATTTTGAATTTCAAGTATAATATTTTTGAATAATAGTTTCAAAATAATACATATTTAAATGGTTAAGTATACATTATTTTCATTTAGGATTGAAACAATTTTTATCATTTTTTAAATTAATTTTAAAATTTAAAATATTTAAAAATTAGGATTTTTATTTAAAATTATTCTAAAAGTTAAATAAGAATACATTATATCGATTATGATTTGGTAAAAGTTATGATATATTATTAGGCAAAAATATGTTAAACCTTCTTGAACTTTGAGACAATTGCAGATGAACCCCCTCACCTTTAAACTTTTAAAACTAACCCCCTAACTTTTAATTTTGCTTTTTAAAACCCCTACTGTTAATTAGCTGATTGGAAAATTCCAGCTTGCATTGGAGGTTTATTTGCTCTTCAGCACCTGATTTTTCATGGTAATAGTTTTGAGGGCATTATTCCTCCAAGTGTATCAAATTTGTCAAAATTAGAGACACTAGATTGGACTTAAATTTTATCCATGGATCTATGCAACTCGAGATTGGAAGGCTTCAACATTTAAAGATTTTACATGTAAGAGGGAACAATCTTTTAAAAAAAATACCTCCAACTATTTTTGACTCATCTTCACTTGAGCGGATGTCTTTGTCATACAACACCTTAATAGGTTTTTTTTTTAATAATGTCAGGTAATTTTATATTTTCTCTAAATTATTTCAAACAATTTTGTAGGTGTTCGTGTCACTACTACAGAATATATTTTTAAGAGCGGGTATTTAGGAGCGCTTCTTTAAAAAGCGCTCTAAAATGTAAATGCGGAATTTACCGGAGCGCTTTTTTAGAAAAGCGCTCCTGTATGTCAGGGCTTTTCAATAAGATAATGCTCCTAATTAATATAAATAAAATATTATAAAAAATTTAAAAAGACCTTCGGGAGCGCTCGTAGTTAAGCGCTCCGGAAGACTATCTTCCGGAGCGCTCTTCAAAGAGCGCTCCGGAAGATCAACTCTTTCGGAGCGCTCTTGGAATGAGCGCTCCGAAAGAGCTCATCTTTCAGAGCGCTCTTTTAATAAGCGCTCCGAAAGAGTTGTTCTTTCGGAGCGCTCGTCAAAGAGCGCTCCGAAAGAGAGATCTTCCGGAGCGCTCTTTGAAGAGCACTCCGGAAGACCACCTCTTCCGAAGCGCTCATGAATGAGCGCTCCGGAAGAGGTGGTCTTTTATATCTCTGCCTCTCGTCAGTTTTCTTTTCCCTATTTATGAGTTTCTTTCAAACCTCTCTCTCATTTGCTGAGGTTGTGCGTTCCCAACGAGTTCTAGATCATCGCTGTATCAGTCTATCTTCCGTCGCTGTTCACTGTTCCAGATCGTCGTCCGCCGCTGTTCGCTGTTCCAGATCGTCGTTTGCCACTGTTCGCTGTTCCAAATCATCGTCTGCTGCTGTTCGTTGTTCCAGATTAGTGTTCATCGCTGTTTGTTCATTTCTGTGTCATGTCGCGCCATCTGTCTCTGTTTTTGCGCTGCCGTCGCCGTCACCGCCATCTCCTGCATCACTATTCTAGATCTACATTGTTGTTCCAGATTTGTGCGGCTGCTGTACACCGGAGGAAGTGACACCGTGAAGACCTCCGTTGTAGCCGTGTGTCATTGCTGTACAGCCGAGGAAGCAACGCTGCAAAGACCTCCACTACTGTCGTGAAGACTTCCGTTTTCTGCCGTGAAGACTACACTGTGAAGGTATTTTTTTAATAATTAATTTATAATGTAATATATTGATATATTTATATATATTTGAGAATAAATTTCACATATATTTTTTTAATAATCAATATTATAGATAATATATGAATTGGAGTTATTTATATTAGAATTATGGAGTATTTGTAGTTGATAATTAGATTAAAGTTGAGGAAACTACTTGAACATTTTTATTTTATTTATGAAATATACTTTTAAGGGAGATTATTGTTATTAATTAAATTACAATTGATTGACAGAATTTAGATGCATTATGCTACTAAATTTTTATTTGGATGAATTAATTTTTTGAGTTTAAATGTATTGTGTTGTGGAATTTGATTGTTTGATCATTTGGGAGGTTCTTCTTTTAAGGAAGATGTTGTTGAATTTTTTTTATAGAAATCTAAGTCTTTTGTTTATTGAATTTTGATAATCATATTAGTGATATGGATCATAAGTGGATGTCGGCTAATCAACTATCTAGAGAATATTGGGATGGTGTGGATGAATTCATTGAATTTGCATTTTGTTGTGATCAAGACCCCCTTGGAGTCATATGTCCTTGTTTGAAATGTTGCTATGGAAAAAGAGTAAAGCCAATAAAATTGAAAGATCATTTAATCTGTAATGGGATTGATCCAACTTATACTTGTTGAACCATGCATGGGGAGACAAGGAATGATGCAAATGATTGGAAGGATAGTGCGAGTTACTCAACATTTGATCGTGATAGTGGGACATATCATGTTGACCATCTTAAATGTTTGTGTTTTTTCATTTTGCCTATTGACATCATTAGAGTTTTAATTGAGATGTATGGAAAGAAATAAGAAGGCATGGAACTAGCTTTTGATTGAAGGGGACCTAATATTTTAGATGATGATGCGACACATACACACTCACGCTTGCACTGATTTGAAGAAAAGAGGAAAAGGTATAACAAAAATAGAGTGAGAGATCAAGAACAGGGAGGGAGAGAAAAGACAGAATACAAAGAGATGAAGAAATTAGAAAGATGAAGGCAGAGCAGTGGAGGGGAAGGAGGCAGACGAAGAGGGGAGAAAGAGAGAGCTTTCATATTCTAGTATTCATTCATCATCAAAAGGTCTAAGAACTCTCTTACATGTGCTGCATGGCAGCTTTTTATAGAAGCAACAATAAGAAGTAAGCATAAAAAAAAAAAAAATATAAGCTTGAAGTTTCCTTCCCTATAAGGATAAATTTACTTGCAGCTCATTTAATACAGGAAGTGATAAAACAGCCCAGTTGCTGAATAGAGTAGAATACATAAAGTAATAAAATATAAAATTAAGATAGATTTCCTCTCATAGCAGGTTTCTTTAAAATATATTAATTCCTGTATTTCATCAGATGAACTGGTTTTGAATCTTATAATTATTGTTGTAGGATCTAATATTAGGCTTTAAATGTTTGGTATAAAACATCAAAAGAAAAAGTTCAAGCCATATCATATAGGGGCCAGCCACTGGAATAAATAAATCAAACATATGATGGGTAGAAATTAATTAAATATTCATTACTAGCTTTCAAGCTTTTTTTGTTTCGCTTGAATTAAACTATTTAGTATTTACTATATACCCCTCAATAACCATTACCGTTTTGACTAATTTTAGAATTTGAATTACCCTATAAGTGTAATCAATCTATGAAACTAACAACTCTTCACACACAAGGATTTTATGTACGGATGGCATAAACCATACATTTTTAAAAGATAACTATATATTTAGGCAATCTTCATTTGAATTTTATTTTTTAATTTTTTATCAATATTTTAAAAATTAATTTTATGATTTGAGAGAAATGTTATATTAGAAAATAGATGAAGTACAAGAATATAAAACTTAAAAATACAAATATATAAATATTAACAACATATTAACTTTACAAATGTACTTCAATAAAAAAATTTCTAAATAATATAAAATGAATTCACATTTTAATGATTTAGAAGTGATATAATGATATAAATTCAACAAATTTAATAATTTATTAATATTATATATATATACACACAATATACACTATTTCACCCCTTTTTATTTTATAATTATTTTTGGTTATTCTAATTTTTTTATATATGTGAGTCATTATGATCAAAGTGTTTTGCGAATTTTGATATATATTGTTAGAAAATTTTCATATTATTTATGATTTATTTGTAGAGTGAAATATATTCATTTATATTTAATTTTATTAACATTACATAAGCCGTCACAAAATTTTCAAAAGTACACAATTTAATTTTTATTTTTAACTCTTTTAAAAAAATACTATATCAAAGATTCTGAAAGGTGCATCTTAGCAGTTTAAACTTACTTGTTTACTCTTGTTAAACACCATTAATTCCGTTCGTAATCTATATCATTCTCCCTCCACCATTTCTGCACAGAACAATGCAAGCACGGAACAATGCACCTTTTTTTTATTTACCTAATAATTTATGCACTATAATAAATGAGTACAATTTCAAAATTTGTATATTTGTGCTAATGAATTGTTTTGTCCTATCATATTTTGTTTACAATTTAGAGGTTATATACAGAACAATTTATTTTGTTTAAGAGCTTCATTATTTTTCCGGACTCTAGTTTCTTTTAAATACAAATTCAAGTATTATATCATAATCACAATAACTTAAAAAAAGAAGCATTCATAGAATTATGTTTGTTACTTATTTTTCTTTTATCATAATCTTATACATGAGAATTCATAATAATGTAGCTTTTTTTATTATCATATTGCAGGAAATATTCCTCAAACAATTGGTGGCCTCACAAACTTGAAAATTATATATCTACGTGCTAACAAGTTGTCTGGCCAGATACCAAGGAGTATTGAAAATTTGACAAAACTTCAAGAGCTAGACCTTAGTGGAAATAACATTGAAGGTACGCTTTCAACTAATCATAATCACATAATGTGTAACTTTTTATCATATTTGAGTTTTTGTTTTTGTATTTATCTAATCATTTATGCTCTATAATAAACAAGTACAATTTAAAAATTTGTATATTTGTGCTAATGAATTATTTTGTCCTATAATATTTTGTTGACAATTTAGAGGTTATATACAAAACAATTTTGTTTGGTTTAAGAACTTCATTATTTTTCCGGACACTAGTTTCTTTTAAATACAAATTCACGAGTTATTATATCATAATCACAATAACTTAAAAAAAAGAACATTCATAAAATTATGTTTGTTACTTATTTTTCTTTTATCATAATCTTATACATGAGAATTCATAATAATGTGGTTTTTTTTTATTATCATATTGCAGGAAATATTCCTCAAACAATTGGTGACCTATCAAACTTGAAAATTATATCTATAGGTGCTAACAAGTTGTCCGGCCAAATACCAAGGAATATTGGAAAGTTGACAAAACTTCAAGAGCTAGACCTTAGTGGAAATAACATTGAAGGTATGCTTTCAACTAATCATAATCACATAATGTGTAATTTTCTATCATATTTGAGTTATTTTTTGAGACGGGCTATATCATATAAATATATATGTCCCCTGGAACAAAGTGTCTCCAAGTCGTTCTTTAACAAGTTCATAGAAAATTAAAAGGATGATCCCGAAACATTTCTTTTAAATTTTAAAAGTTAGATTTGTTAAAAATGATTTACCATGCATGAACACTTGGAGCATTAGACAAATTTTATTATATATTTATCAAATACATAGAAAATATTCTCAATATAACTGCTGTGTGACAAATTTAAATTTTTTATATATTTAAGAGTTAATTTTTTTAAGCCAATATACCAGGTAATTTTTCATCAAATTATGATGTTATAGCTAATATACTTTTTCCTGTTGGTTATACATTTGTGTGTTCTAGAATTTTTATTTTTATACATGAATGATTCTTTTTAATTACTATTTGCAAACATTGGTTAGAACTAGAGACTTGTTGAAATGCTTTAGTTTTAAAGTCAGATAAAATGAACCATATATAATATGTGGCACTACAAAAGTTTTACAGTAGGATCAGCAATATAATTCACATTTCTATTAGATTACGTCACCACTCTATGCTAGCTACTGAGATATTTACTATAATTCCAGTTTTAACTTCCATTAATTTGTCAATTTAAATTCCTGTGTAATTATTTTTTTATATATTACTATTGCTAGAATTCTAGGTGTGAGGCAACGTTCAAAATGTGTTGATATTTCATATCAAAGACATCAAGTGTTAATAAAATTATCATTGATTTTCTTAATTCAATTGCACTACAACATAACATTTTTCTTTCTATACATTGCATGGATCAATCTATTTGGACAAACTAAAATTTGAACAGGCATATCTTAAAATATATATATATATTCATTAAGTATATTTATTTTAGAAAGATATTAACAAAATGTACTTTAAATATTTTATACATAGTCTTTTGGATGTTATATTTTCCTGAAAAATTGTTCAACAACCTTCAGTATAGTGATAAAGTAAAATATAAGTGAAATTTAAATGACATATTATATTTTTTCTATCAAAATGTATTCATATATACTATATATTGTATAAAAAGCCAATATGATGCATTTGGCTTGTGAATTGTGTTACGATTCAAGATATTTAATTTATATTGAACAGCATGTTTTTAATTTTGAAATATAATGTTTATTTTTTCCCATTGAATTTACAAAAGGTATTTTAGTTTTTGCAAGTTTAATAGAGGCACATGTAAAAAGATTTTGCATGTTCTAGTTAACTCCCTCATTTATAGCACTATCTTCTCATGGAATACATTCCAAAAGTCAGTGGTCTTGTTTTTTTTCTTTTTTATATTCTCAATCATCTCATAAAGTTATATTGCATCATTTTAACACATTTCATGAAATTTAAAATCACAAAATCTATCTCTTTGTATCAAGAAAGTTTGTTTGGCATTTGTTTAGTATATTATCCTTTATTCATTTTCACTTTTGATGACTTCATTTTTGGGTTTTAATTAATTGTTTGGCAACATAAAGATGCATTGGAAATTTGATATACTATTAATAAATGATAGTTTGGTACTATCAATCATTTTATTCCTTTTTGTTCTTCTTTTGTCAGTTGGAACATAATCACTTGTATGAAAATGTTAATATCTACATCAATATTAAAATATAAAATCTCCATGTCAATGGTTTTCCTTAAACTGTAAACAGGAATTAATAAATTGGAAAATAGCACACTTTAGTCCCTATAAACCAGAATCAACATATCTGTTTTATGGGCTAAAAAAGAGGCAAACATATTCCTCAACACATAGTGCAAGATTTGTTTATAGTTGAGGTGTAGGGCAAAGGCGTAGGAAAAGATAAAGAGACTTCAAAATTTGGCCGTTGATTTTATTTTTTTGGTAATGCATAATAATTAACCACATCGTATATTATGTAACAATTCATTTGCAACGTTATATCACTTTTTGGATCCAGTTTCGACCGTTGTACGGAAATTGGCCAAGTGCTAGTTCCGATTCAACTGATTAAAATGGCTAGTCCATTTCAATTTTTTAAGACTATATATTTTCATGTGACCATGTCATCATTAATTGTTTTTGGTATTTGAGTTTATAGTTTTATTATGATACTAAAATCTATCATGTGTAATTTTTTTTCCTTGCAAAATTTATTTTTAAATTATAGGTAATATTCCCAAAGCAATTGGGAATTTGAATATGCTTCAAATGTTAGACCTCAGTGAGAATAATTTACAAGGGATACCTTCAACAAAATATAATATTTATATTTTTAAATATTTTTAGATTTTTAAATAAATATATGAGCACCACTAGAAACATTTGTTTTTCTTTTTTGTCCTTTTCATTTGAGTTCTTTAATCATATGACAAACAATAATCTAAAGGAATTTTGGGTGATCATCCAAATTTGAAAATATGAACCCATTCACATCACAACCCATCATTATCTATTTCTTGCTATCTACCTTCTCATGCTCTTGCAAGCAACAAGAAAGGCATTATTTACATTTATATCTTCACCATCAATGATCATTGTACTTTAGAGCCCTCAGTTACACATTTAGATTTGTCACTTACAAGCACATGAATTGTTTTGTGAAATTTACACCACTTTGGTGTCCTTCAAATATAGAATTGTATTGCTTTGTTTTTTGGACTTCAAAACAGAGTTAAGCATGCAATACTGGTATTGATTACATGAAGATTTACCCTTCCAAATATGTGATCTTTTCATTTAAGTCTCTCAACAGTTTCTTTTTCTTCTATTTATTTTTCAATACTCAATCCATGAAGATTTTCCTTCTAATTTGAACTATCAGATTATGGGCTATCTATGTCTTTAATATATAGCTCTATCTCAACTTCTCCTTTACTATTTTTATTATGGTCGGAAATTACAAATATACTCAACTCTTCTAAATAGGGCTCAGCCTCACCATTTGTGTCAAGTTCTCACATATACACATAAATCCACATTCAATTCTCATTCAATCCACATTCACACATGTGGAACAAGTTACAAAACAACATACATGTACCCTTCACTGGGGCACCCTCGGTGAGATGCAATATCATATACATATATATACATAAGAAAGTTTTCACAACACAATTCATATTTTTCTTTCACATACACTTTTGTATTCAAGTTGGCAACTCAAATTCTAGATACAATTTTATACATTCATTTACACTAATGGTAGTCATATCACTATCAATCGAGCCTACTCTTTCCTCGCTTCCTTTTCCAGCCTTTTCGTACTCTCTTTATCTATGTACAAAGGCAACAGAGTAAGACATATGTCCTAGTAACTTGGATATAACCCCAATTATCAGTTAGTAAGAAAAATCATATGCATATACAAGAGATAAAGTAGCATGTGTTTTTGTAAAAACAATGTCATGTGCATATATAGGAATTCATTCTTATCAATCTCATCATGCTCATGCTAATGCATTCCTGGTTCCACCTAGCGAAGCAATCTCTATGTTGGACCAGGACTTCCAGTCACATAGAACAGGGCCCACCATACCTTTGTTTAGACCAGGTAATCCTCTTCATATATGGGTGGTCTCATAGGTCCATCATGGTAGAGTCAAGCTCTATGCTTAGGATCTTCAAGACTTCCTAGCCTTATACAAAGTAGGACCATAACCCCTTACCCTAGTCAAGGGTATACTTGTGGATCATTCCATATGTTAGGTCCATCGTGGCGGAGTTAAGCTCTATGCTTTGTATCATTAAGATCTCTTAGGTCTGTCCTAGCGAAGTCAAGCTCTTCACTCTTAATCATAACGTCTTCCTGGACTCACTCAAAGTAAGGCCGCATCTTCCTACCATAATCTAGGGTATACTCACGGATGCAATGCACATGTCTGCATATGTCCCTTCAAATTCATTTCATATATTATTGACACCTCTGCATGCATATTCTTTCACAATATTACTACTCTATATTTCATAACACAATGCACATAGATATATAAAAATATTTGTAAATAATTTTACAAATGAACAAGTAAAAGGGTTACTCCAGTTACCTTTTACCCTTACTACTAACGGTTACCAATCACTATAGATTCCCAAGCATGTAGATTCCCATGAGCAATGTCATAGGTGCTCAATTTCAATCAATTCTCAACATTTCATATAAGCATTGATTTAGCTGAACCGAATCCCTTAACACACAAACTAGTCCAATTGACACCTTTTGAATTCATAAGTCCACTGTCTATAGTCATTGGCATTATAGACTATTCAAATGACCAAAACAACCTCCTAATATATTCATTTAAGCAATTTTCACCATTTAACCTAACTTTTAGGCTAAGCTCAACCATTTAACTCTATATTAGTCACAAAACCTTAGTTTCATATTTGATAGCCCTTTTTAAACCTTTCTTTTAGATTCCAATACTTTAAAACTTCTTGGTTCAATTTCTCAACAGAAGAAATTTAATGAAAATAGGGTTGAAATGAAGCTTAGGACTATGCAATACTTACTTGATAAGTCACTAGTTGAAGTTGACTCCCAATGACTAGATAATTTAAGCCCCAGTAGAGCCAAGCTTCTCCACCTCCTTAGATGCATTTTCCTCACTTCTTCCTTCTAATTTCACAAGCTGATCATGTTATCTTGAACTAATTTCTGCACATTCTACCCTAGTATATGCAAATTCTATTGTAGTGCATGGCACAGTGAGTTCAACCTTACTTGTGCTCACGTGTTTTGTCCCATATTGTCATTCTACCATTCAGTCCTATTAACATAACAATCATTCAACATGAAATATCAACTCAATATCCCAACTATGATCAATCCACTGATTACTAATTTATCCCTGATTATCAACTAGTTTCTTGGATTAAAATTCAGGATGTTACAATTCTCCCTTCCTTTAAAGGAATTTTGTCCTTAAAATTCAAACACAACTAT